ATTGTAATGGGGTTTCTAAAAACGTTTCAGCACTAACACACCAAAATTTTAGTCAACTAATATGTTTGCGCACAAACTCAAAATTCAGCAATGAAAATAGTAAAAAGAGAGAACACCAATTTGTTGAGACAGTTTCCCTGTCGTCCTCGCTCGGGGTACGTCTGTCCTCGATTCTAAAAATAGAATTGAGACTTGTATATATAACCTGTTGCAAATTGCTTTTACAAGAGAAGCAATAAAATTCAAACACTCAACCTAAACGTTGATGCTGAGTCTATGTCTTCTCTTCCCTTAATTCAAGATGAATCAAGTTCTTCAAACGTGATGAGTAAACCTCCAATTATGGCACCACCTGTTGCACCCCAAAATTTTCCCAACTCTTTTCTTTGTAGCTTTTGTTTCATTGCATTAGCATATCATTAGCATTTGCATATCATTGTCATTCACAGGGGATCAAAAGAGAGGTGCATAGCATGAGAAATACATCAAAGGTCCTAAGCCTAATCAAGAGGTCTTATTCAAGATATCAAGTGCTTATCACCATCAGAGGAATGTCAAAGCTCATTGAAGGAGTGAACGGTTAAGATTGGTGTGTCTCCTATCTTGGAGGCCAATTGGGGATCATCAGGAAATTGTGAGTCCATGGTCATGGATGGATAGTATTGTGTAAGATCATGGAGTGCCTTGAGGGTCATTGTAGAGCTTATCCATGGCATTATATCAAGTGCAAGAAGCCACAGTCAAAATGGTGCATCTATGGTTTTCATCTGGTCAACCCAAAGTGAACTGTGAGATTAAAGGGGATTAAGACTCAATTCTAAGTCAATGTGATAATGGAATGTTGTGTTGATGCATTTCATATATCATTTCAAGATCAAGTCATCAAGATTCAAGAGTGTGAGAAGTTACTAAGCTAGGGTTTCTAAGCTTATCAGTGTAAAATCCCCTGTTTAGTGCCTAACTTCAATACCACATATCTCAAGATACAAGTTTCATCTTATCTTGACTCCAACATGAGACTTGTAGATAATGTTCTCAGCTTTCTTTTGAGTACTAGAAGTCTTTCATATAATTTCTAGAACTCAAGATATGAAGCTGGCAAGTTACAGGTCCTCAGATGAATGTAATTTTGGTCAACCAACTTCCAAGACATTTTTGACCTAGAAGGATGTTTCTCCTCACCTTGATGCAAACATGAAAGTTGTTCCTTATGATCTTAGATTTCCAAAAAGTTCTATAAGTCCTTCATATGATTTGTAGAGCTCTATATATGAAGCTTGCAAGGCAGGGGTATTTTCCAAAACTTTGATTATAGGTCATTTTCATTATAGGCCAATTTCACAACTTTGCACACCTCAAATAGAACTTTTTCCAACATTAAACTTACTTCAAATAGCATCCTTTTCATCATTAAATCATCACCTATCATGGGTTTGGTTTGAATTAGAAGATTGGTGAAGAAAAATTCCATGATAAGTACTTAAAAGGCATAATTTGGATTAAATTCATAATGTACCAATTCATGTCAAGTTTGGGCATTTTTTGAGTGCCTTGAACCTACCAATTACAATGCCAATTTCAGAATTTGAATTTGATGAGTTTTGGTATGCCAAGTTTCAAGTAACTTCACAAGGAAGCAACACATCCAAGATCAACCATTAGGTGGTTTCAAGGGATCAATTTTATCCCTCTAATCACTCCAAGCCATAAGCAATGTGTATGAATCAAGTTGGAAGCCATTTGAGCCAAGTTCAGTCATGAATTTTGCAAGCTTCAAGTGCAAATTTTTGGATTTCCAATTGCCTCAAACAGGCCTTGATTGGGCCTCAATCCCATCTGGATCCGTTCCATATAAACTCAGGATCCTTCACAAGCTCTTAGAGGTGGATTTGGATCAGAATTGGAGCAGAAATCAGTTACACGAGTGGAGAGAAAAGTGAAGAAGTGAAATCAAGAATCAATCAATTTCAATCCAATTCAAGGTGATAGTAAGCTTCCTTGAAGATTGTATAACGTTCCTGGGTGGTTTTGCACAATCCTCATAACCAAATCAAGGCCCAACGGAGGCGCTCCATTAGGTAAGTTAACCTTCAAAAATTCTCAATCTTTACGTAGCAATCAACTGCCATTTTCACATATTCATGATCCCTTAGGCCCATAGGTCGTTTCTGGATTAGTTTAGGGTTTGTTTGTGATAATTCTTGGTCTGACCTCCATTCTTGATAGCTTTGTGTTTCTTTATTTATGGATGAAAAATGAAAATGGTTATTGGATTATTGACCTACGTCTTGAGACGAGTGGAATGGTATAAAAAATCTTGAGTTTTGGTGAGGTTTAAAATTGGTCACTGTAGTATGCTGGAGGTTGAAGACGACCGGAGAAACCAGAGCCACCGTCTGGCTCGTCTTCTCCGGCGCCTGTGTTTTAGTCTCAGGTGCCAGCGTGTGATGCCACTTCATCCGTTGAACATTTGACTTATCTTCAACCAACGACCAGGATTGAATGTTGTATGCTTTGACCCCCATGTATTGCTTTGACCTGGCCACGTACTTGATCAAAATGAACAGTTTCATTAAAGCCTCTGATGGCTTTGGATCTTGGGCCCTAGTTCATATTCGCACCTCCCTTAATTCAGGGCCCAAAGATTGAACTGTGAATAATTGATATTCCATACACAGCTTTTTCTATTTTCTTTTTCTTTTTCTTATTTTCCTTTTCTTTTTCTGTTGAGCTTTTAATTCATTAAAAATACCTCAATACGTCTAAAAATCATGGAAAAAATATTTCTGTACATTTTATCATGTTAATCGATTTTACCAATTTGTGGATTAATTTTTAAGCCATTTTTTCAATTAAATCTTGGATTCTCATTTTGAGGTGTTTCTTGTGAATTGAAAAATGTATATCATTTGATGCCAGTTAATCTTGATCTTCTTTTTCAGAATGTAAACCAAGTGAATATCACCTTGGTCAACCCTAGAGTAACCACCTTTCTTGGGTCAAAGAATGTGTGAGACAATCCACTGTAAAATTCTGTCAATCGGCTTCTGTCGGAACTACGGAAAAAAAGGTTCTGGCGGAAACAAACAGAAGAGTCGCCACCGAACGTTATTTATCCCAAAGAGAGGGAAAGGAAACAATCGAAGAAAATTTAAAATAACGGGAAAAGACAAGGTCATCGCAACCAAATCTCGAGTTCGGGAGTCGGTTACACAAGGGGAAGGTATGAGCACCCCTCACGTCCGTTGTACTCAAAGGGATCCACACTTGTTGTCTAATCTACGGGTGAAAATTATCTAAAAGCCACTGCTAAATGGGGGTGGAAAGAAAGAACAGACTCGATAGGACATCGTCGCTCTATGCCTACGTATTCCTTCGTGCAATGGGAAAGTCATAGTCAACGTAGTTCGGGAAACTATGGGTGATGGGGGGAAGGTTGCTCGCCAAGACATCACCGTCTTGTGCCTACATATCCTCATCTGGTATGAGAAATCAGAGCGAATGTAGTTTGGGTAACTACGGGAAAAGGTCTCGATCGCACTGGGGCGAGAGAAAAGGTTCAGAATAACAGGTTGGTCTCGATTGCACTAGGGGAAGAGAAGAGGGAAATTAGTTGTTAGTGTTCTCGTCAAGGATGGGGATCCTCGTGCCTACGTATCCACATTAGGGAATAAGGAATCAAAGTGTCCGTAGTTCACGCTACTACGGGAAAACGGGACCTCGATCGCACAGGGGCGAGAGAAAAGAGCCTAGGTCTGAAACGCCTCAACGGAAGTGGATTGACTTGGTTTGAGATGCGTACTGCACTAAAATCTAAGACATAGGAGCAAATATGTCACATATCACCCTCGGGGCATACGCTAAACACTCTAGACAAGCGAGGAGAAACCGCTCTCTCGTCATTTCCTATGTACCTAAGGCTCGTGGCGCATAATATTCATCATGGTTATTAAGTGTTTTGAATTATTGTTGACAGTGTTAATGAATCGAATCGGGGAAAATATTACGCTGAATCGTCCTAGCTCGACTTATGATGAAAGTCAAACTATAGGAGGTCGCGTAAATTGATATGCATGCTATGGACAAGATAGAAAAATGATATTGAGGATCATTCTTCAATTAAATCGTGTCGCACGGACCAAAGAAAGGTGGAATCTCGTCTTAGTCATGAACATCATGTCGATTAATCGAAGGTAGCCTATCACGATCCCAAAGTAAAGAAATGACCCAAATGGTCATTTTTCATAGATTTGAAATTGCGAAGGTTATCGACTTCGATAAACCGACGCTCACAAATTAAAAGACTTCATAGATCGAAGAACATTGAATAAAACCAAAAATGAAGAAGAAATTGAAAGAGAAAAGAAGGCGTTCTCGGAAAAATCGTCATCTATCAATAATTTGACCAATGATGATTTTCGGTGGTCTCGTCGTCGACCCGAAAAAAATGAGACTAAAATAAATCCAAGACTAATAGAGATAGAATGAAAAAGAAATCCAGAAAATGAATCAATTAACCAAAAATAAAGTATTTATCAAAGTGTTATTCTCTTTTTTTCTTTTCAAAAATTACTAAATAAACTTAATAAAAGTTCTAAGAATTCAATTTAAAAAGAATATTAAAACTCTAAAATTAAAAAATTAGAAAAAATATATATTAAAGCTTCTAAAAACTAAATTAGAAAAATATATAAACTTCTAAAAAACTAATTAGAGAAAATTATAAAAACCCTAATAAAATAAAATAAAAATGTGTTGGAATCATCATGGGCCTAAGCCCATTCATCCAACACCAAGAGAAAACACGGTGGGCTCTTTAGCCCAAATCCAATAACAAACAAAGCCTCACGGGTTAGGTTTCATGAGGTAACAACTCTTCACGGAAACGCACATACAAGGATAAGCTTCATCACTTTCAAAAACACGTTAATAGAAGGGAAAAGACGACAGCGACAACATGTCTCAATCCGGCCTCCTTACGGTTCGAAACTCTCTCCGATCTAGTTTGTCCTGAAGGAATTAAGCTCGGTCTCGAGTTTCTCCTTCTTCAGCTTTGCTTTCTTATCAATGGTGAAATACCAAGTGTCGTCAACAGTATAGTTAGGTCCCAAACGACCCTTAATCTTGCTAACAACTTCCCTCATGAGTGACGTATCCTCGCCTTGCTTGATTTCGTCGAAGGCCATACGAAGCGCCTCCAACTGCATCATCAAGTTATCTCCGCAATGTTTAGCAATAAAGAGGAGTCGGAAGATCTTAGTGCGGCCAGAGTAGAGGCTGGCGTATGCCTTGATGTCAAATTGGTCTGTGTTGATGATCTGACGGTGGTTATTGCGGTTGTCATCATCGCCGCCATTGGAAAATATTTCATCGTCAATGAGAGTGGAGGAGTTGTCGTCGGTGTTCATGTGTGGTTGGGGATGAACCCTAATAGAGGAAGTGAGAGCTTAGTTTTCTTTGCGGTGGCGAGAAGTGAATGTTTTTTGTGTCTTTTAGATGTTGAGGAAGGAGGAGATTGAAGATAAGAGATGAAGGGATGAGACTAAGATTGAGGCTGGAGGTTGAAGGAGAAGGAGGGGGTAAGTGGAGGTAATGGCAGCTCGGTTTAAAGATGGGGAAGATGAACAGGAAAGAAGAAGGCGAAGTTTGCGGCGGAATTTGAACGGAGGGAGGGTGGCGGCTGGCTTTTAGGGCTTCTCCAGGAGAGAGATGATTGAATAGTGGCTAGGGTTTTTGTCCAAACGAAGAAGAAGAACAGTAGACCCTTATATACTAAAAACCAACGTGTCTCTTAATTTTTATTTTCTTTTTTCTTTTAATTTTTTGATTAATTAATTAAAGTTCTAACCTAATTTCTAATTTCTTAAATTAATTAACTAATATTATTTCTAAATTGATTTCTAAATCTAATTTCTAATTTAAAACCTATTCTAATTCTAATCTAATTAAAATTCTAAGTTCTAATTTCTAATTAAAAAACTAAATTCTAAATTTTAATTCTATTTCTAATTAAATCTAATTAATTAATATCTAAATCTTAATTCTATTTTAAACTAATTATAATTTCTAATTTAAAACTAATTAATTCTAATTCTAATTTCTAATTAAAATTCTAATTAATTAATACTAAAATATTACTATTATATTATATTAACAAATTAAAAAAAAGAAATTATAAAACAAAAATAAAAACAAATCACAAAATGCCACAAAATAAAAAAATAAAAAAATAAAAAGGTCGAACACCGAAATGCTTGAAAGCAAGGAACTAAGCACCAAAATTATCAGCACGGACTAAACCACTAGGAAGAAATACGACCTCTGTTCGATTTTGAAATAAATCTTATCATTTGAACTGGTTTAAACTGTCAAAAATACGAACAAAGCGGCTGTAATTCTGATAAACCCATTTCGGCTGATAACATGGACAGTATGTGAGAAATGATCGACTTAGATGGTATCCAAATGAATGTGAAGCATAAGCCAGTCAAAGTTAGAAAACGCGAGGGCAAATTTTGAGGTGTAACAGCTTCAACCTACCAGTTGTGACTGATTTAGGAAAAAGGTCGCTAGCGAAGATGTCGTTAGTATATGGTTTCTTCAGCATAGAGTTCAAGGCTTCCTTGAACTCATACCCATTCACGGTTCGAGTATCAGTGACCTTAATCAGCAGTTCAGCAGTCAGAGGAGACATATTGAACAAATTTTTCCAGACAGAGTCATTGACATATACCTTATTATTTCCAATCTTAGTACTGAACTCAAAACCTTCAAATTTTCCTTGAAGAACAGTGTAGAAAATTTTGATCAAGTCCTCCTTATATTTATTATCGCATTCCAAAAATTTATTGAAATTCTGAGCATCCAGAAACTTAAGTACTTCTTGGATTTGCATTCTTTCAGCAGCTTTTCGATAATAAACATATTGTTTGACAATTGATCTCTTACTCAGATTTTTCTTATAAAGTTCAGTGTATTCAGGAGGTAAAAGAGAGAGAGCGATTACCGGTATAGCAGCTCTAGAAGTACCAGCTTGAGCAGATGGAGCTCTGGTTGTTCTTTCCTCTGTTACTCTTCGCATAGCCATTAGAGCAATTTCTTGAAGAAGATGAATAGTGACAAACAGAGTTTCTGGTGTTGGTGGGATAGACTTACTATGCTCCTTGATTATATAGTGAAATTAGGTTTTTAAAGGATTTTTGAAAAGAGGAGACGTAGAGAGTAGCCTTGAGTAGGTGAAAAGTACCAATGTAAATGCTAACGATGATGTTATTTGAATACATAACAAAAAAGTGAATGCATTAAATGGGTCAAACAATTTGAACATTTCTTCAAAACTGAGATTTTTCAGCAAAATCGTGCAACGCATTGACCCATACAGGTTTTGCATCGACGCGTATTATGAAAACTTAGATAGTGAGAAATGTCCAAAGTTTGATTCGACCTAAGGGTCGACCTGAGCGGACCCGCTTCTAAAACAAGAAAAATTGTCATTTTATGAGTCAACCAGAATCCTGTGTAGGTTGACTCATCTAGTAAAAGACAACACAAATCATCAATTTGAAACATACAAGCATAAAAAAGACACAAATATATAGCTTACACATATTTCAAACATTCAATGGGATAAAACATGCTTAATCATGCAATAAACATCAATAATAACACATAACTTGGTATGCCAACTTACACATATAAAGTGATCAAGAAAGTTTGATAATGAGGAAAGATATTACCTCACTCGTGATTAATGTTAGATGCCCTCACATATGTTTTAGTCACTTCTTCGTTTTGTTAAATAAAGACATAAATAAAACATATATAGAAAGCATGCAATAATAAACTCCTAAACACGATCCGAGATGTCGATAACACCAAGTTCCCTATGGATGTTAAAGAAAGGCTCTGTAGCGAGTGGTTTTGTAAAGATATCCACAATTTGATTTTTGGTATCAACATGCTCAAAAACCAAATCACATTTCTCCACATGATCCTTAAGGAAATGATGACGTATTTTGATATGCTTGGTGCGTGAATGTAGTACGAGGTTCTTGGTTATATTAATGGCACTTGTGTTATCACAAAAGATCATAACACGCTCAAGCTTTAGATTAAAGTCAAGCAATTGTTGCTTCGGTCATAATATATTCTGCTTCGGTTGTTGACAAAGTAACGAAAACTTGCTTTTTGCTATGCCAACTCAACAAAGAATTTGAAAACAGATGACAAGTGCCACTTGTGCTTTTCCTATCCTATTTGCAACCGGCAAAGTCGGAATTGGAAAAGCCAACCAAGGAATAATCATTACCCTTGGAATACCAGAGCCCATACTTTGGAGTACCAGGGAGGTATCTAAGTATGCGCTTTATGGATTTCAAGTGAGATTCCTTGGGACATCATTGATACCTCGCGCATATGCAAACACTAAACATTATGTTGGGTCGAGATGCGGTAAGATAGAGGAGAGAGCCAATCATACCTCTATACTTCTTCACCTCCACATCCTTACTATTCTCATCTCGATTGAGATTTACACATGTCGGTGTCGGAGTGTCAATCGCCTTGGAGTTTGCCATGTCAAAATGCTTGAGAAGCTCAAGGAAATATTTTGTCTGGCTCACAAACGTACCCTCTTCGAGTTGCTTGGTTTGCAATCTGAGGAAATAGTTGAGCTCCCCCATCATGCTCATCTTGAAATCTCCTTGCATTAATCTAGAGAACTCCTTGACCATATTCATGTTAGTTGATCCAAAAATGATATCATCAACATAAATTTGCACTAAGTTTAAGTGTTTTCCTTGACGTTTAATGAAGAGATTTTTGTCAACCTTTCCTTTTGAATACCCTTGATCAAGTAAAAAAATTTTAAGACGGTCATACCAAGCCCTAGGGGCTTGCTTGAGTCTGTACAAAGTTCGTTTTAACTTGTAGATATGATCAGGATACTCATGGGATTCAAACCCATAAGGTTGGGCTACATAAACCTCTTCATTGATATATCCATTGAGGAAAGCACTTTTTACATGCATTTGAAATAATTTGAAATTTTCCGCACATGCGTGAGCAAGCAAAATACGTATAGCCTCGAGTTGGACAACAAGCGCATAAGTTTTCTCATAGTCGATTCCTTCCTCTTGGTTATATCCTTGCGTAACTAATTGTACCTTGTTACGTGTTACAACTCCATTTTCGTCCAGTTTATTCTTAAACACCCATCGGGTGCCGATTACTCGATGGCCTCGCGAAGGAGGGACAAGGTCCCAAACCTCATTTCTTTTAAACTGATTCAGTTCCTCTTACATTGATAAGAACTAATGTTCATTGAGTAACTCCTCTTTAGGGTTTTTAGGCTCAACTTGAGAGATGAAAGCAAAGTGATAACATAAGTTACTTAGCTTAGATCTTGTGCTCATTCCCTTTGAGATGTCACCGAGAATGTTGTTGATATGATGGTCTTTAGAAGATTTCCAAGCTAGAGGAAGGCCATCGGTGTTAGTCGGATGAACCTCCTCAATCTCCTCATGATGGTGATCTTTTTCCTCCTCAACTTTCACTTATTCGGGTTGATCAATTCCTTTCTCAGTGTCTTTGAGTATGACTTCAAAAGATACACCTGCACCATGAAACAAAATACCTTTTTTCGACACTTTTCAGATAAGTTTCATCAAAAGTGACATGAACAAATTCTTCAACAATAAGTAACCTCTTATTATATATCCTATATGTTTTACTTGACTGAGAGTATCCAATAAAGATACCTTCATCTTCCTTGGATTCAAATTTACCAAGACTCTATATACCATTGTTTAACACGAAAGACTTACAACCGAAAACATGAAGGTGCGACACATTTGGCTTCCTCCCTTTCAAAAGTTCATACGGAGTTTTGTTAAGAATAGGACGGATGAACACCCTATTCAAAACTTAACAAGCCTTACTAATGGCATCGGCCCAAAAATATTTAGGAAGTCCACTTTCATTGGTCATAGTTCTTCCTAGCTCTTCCAAAATTCAATTTTTATGTTCTACGACCCCGTTTTGTTGAGGGGTACGTGGAGCGAAAAAGTTATGATCAATTCCATGTCTACCACAATATTCTTCAAAAATATGATTTCCAAACTCACCTCTATAATCACTCCTAATTGATATAATGTTTGTGTTCAACTTATTTTGAGAAAGTTTAGCAAATTTTTCAAAGGCAGAGAAAGTATGGCTCTTGCTAGCCAAGAAGATAGTCCAACAAAACCTAGAGAAATCATCGACTATAATAAAAACCATAGTAATTACCACCGAGAATCTTAATTCTAGATGGTTCAAAGAGGTCCATATGAAGAAGTTCAAGAGGTCTCGTAGCTGACACAATGTTTTTAGGTTTAATCGAGATTCTTGTTTGCTTCCCCATTTGGCA